CTTTGTTGCTTAAGCTGAAGTGAGTGCTGTGGTGTGCTACTTGTGATCAAACACATACTAATTGTTCAACAAACAAACGAAAACAACTGTGAACTCATATTTCCCAAAGATATCTCAAACTCTATAGATCCCCAAACCAAAGTCAACCTGTCACTGCCTTACGTCCCTGGGATGTGCCACCATCCACCTGGGCACACGAGCTAGACAAGGCACCTGGAGTCACTCTGTCTTCTTCCTTTCCCTTACCGTGCACACCCACTTAACAAGTTATGTTCATTTGACTCTCATCTGTCTCCTTCCCTCCAATGCCACTGTTGCTATCTCAGCTGATGAGGGCGGAGGCGGCAGAGGGTCCTCATTTCTCTCCAGGGCCACTTCTTCCCAAATGCTTGATTTGCCTCTGGTCATGTTTCTCTCCAAGCCCTTCTCCACCAGCTTCCAGCATGGTCTAGCTAAAAGCAGCTCTGAAGTTGTTATTCCTTTGTCTGATCCTGATTAGCGTTTTCCTATGCCGAAGGAAGCAGTTCTCAAAGTGTGGTTCCTAGACTGGCAGTATCAACATCACCAGGGAACTCAGAAATGAAAATTCTCAGGCTCCACCTTGGAGTGTTTACTGAATCAACAATTTGGGGGTTGGATCCAGCTCTCTATGTAAGTAAGTCTTCCAAGGAAATCTAATGTGCTAGTTTAAAATCACTACTGGCCTTAGGTAATAAAACCTTATTTCCTTATCGTAATTTGAACAGTACCACCCCCACCCACTTATCCCAACTCATGTCTACTCACAGCTTCAGAATTCACCTTATTTGGAAAGAGAGTCTTAGCAGATGGTAATTACTTAAGGATTTCAAAATGAAATCATCCTGGATTTAGAGTGTCTCCTAAATCCAATGATTGGTGTCTGTATTGGCTTGTTATGCTGCTAATAAAGACATACCCCAGACTGGGTAATTTATAAAGAAAAAGAGGTTTAACGGACTCACAGTTCCACATGTCTGCGGAGGTCTCACAATCATGGCAGAAGGTGAAAGAGGAGCGAAGGCACGTCTTACATGACAGCAGGCAAGAGAGTGTGTGCAGGGGAAATTCCCTTTACAAAACCATCAGCTCTCCTGAGACTGTCACTATCATGAGAACAGCACGGGAAAAACCCACCCGTATTATTCAATTACCTCCCACCAAGTCCCTCCCATGACATTGGAAATTCTGAGAGCTACAATTCGAGATGAGCTTTGGGTGGGGACACAGCCAAACCATATCAATATCCTTCTAAGAAAAGAACCTAGAGACACACACAGAGGAGAAGGCCATGTGAAGATGGAGGCGGAGGTTGGTTATGCTGCCACATGCCAAGGAACACCTGGAGCCACCAGAAGCTGGAAGAGGCAAGAAAGGATACTTTCCAAAAACCTGCAGAGGGAGCCTGGCTCTGCCAACACCTTGGTTTGGAACTCCTAGACTTCAGAACTTTGAGAATATATGTTTCTTTGGTTTAAGCTATCCAGTTTGTGGTATTTTGTATGGTAGCCCTAGGAAACCAATACACTTGGCATAGCATACAAGGGTTTTTGGGTCTCACCCCTGTGCACCTGTCTACTAGTCTATCTCCTTGTTCATAGATCTTTCTATCAACAATATTTATGACATCCCTGTTATGTATCAAGCCCAAAGGATGCAGCAATGACTAAGGCACAGTGTCTGCCCTGTAGACACTTTCAGCCTAGCAGGAGAGGATAACAGCTGCATAGGCAATTGCCCTGTGATGTACTAAGTGCTCAAAGATACACATGCCAGCAGCTCTTGTCTTCTTGTAGCTCTCTGAATGTACTTGCTTCTCTATATTTCCTTTGCAACTCTTCCTGCTCTGCAAACAATCCACTGTAAGAATCTGTTTCTACTCATTTCTCCTGTGCAGAATCACCCCCTCCACTGTCCTATTTCTGAACTATGTGATGATGGCCATGTTTCTATGAGAGCATCCATTACACATCATTGTAATGATGTATGGGCCTTCCTCTCTCGTAAGACTGAGATATTTTGAGAGCATGAACCATGGCCTTTTGTCTAATTATCCTTCTTATTTGCAGATCCCCAAAGAGCATCTGGCTTGAGGCAGTTTCTCTAAAAGAATACTGAACTGAACTTTTGAAGTGGTGTTCTGAAGGACTAACTTTCTGGGATAAAAGATTTCCTGAGGTCAAGTGCAATGGCTCACACCCGTAATCCCAGAATTTTGGGAGGCTAAGGTGGGAGGATCACTTGAGCCCAGGAATTTGAGACCAGCCTGAGCAACATAGGAAGACCTGTTGTTACAAAAAACTAGCTGGGCATGGTGGCACATGCCTGTAGTCCCACCTACTTGGAAGTCTGAGGTGGAAGGATTGCTTGAGTCAGGGAGGTCGAGGCTGCAGTGAGCCATGACTGTGCCACTGCACTCCAGCTGGGCAACAGAGTAAGACTCTGTCTCAAAAAGAAAAGTAATATTTCCTGATCGTATTTATTTATTTAAGAGGAGGTATGACTGCATGATCTAGACTACTTTCTGCTAAGGCTTGACCATGGGTCCTCTGGATTTGGGATCACAGTTTAATGCACATCCTTGGTTAAGAGCATACTTATTTTAATTTCAAATTCCCAGCCATATTTTACCTGCCTTCAGAGCCTCTCTTCTTTTCTCAGGAACCCCACCTGTCATGCAGGGTGTTCTTGGTCCACCTTCATCTGAGCTCATCTGGTATTTACCTGCCACAAGTCCCAAACTATTTTCCACTGGAGACAATATACATGTTGGCTAAATATTGGCACAAGCAAGTCATAAACTTGACATGTTCGCAAACAACGTGGCAGACCGCTGAACAGATGTTCCAACATTTACAAATTGGTTTTCAGTTATGAGCATGTGCAATGACCATCTGCCTTTGTCCCCAGTGTGCTGAGCTCTTCTTGTAAGGTTAGCCGTATTCTCCACTTCAGTGCTTCTCAAACTCTGCTGCACATTAGAGCCACCTGTGAAGCATTTACAAACCCTGATGCCCAGGACAGCCACCAGACCAATTAATTCAGACTCTAGGGGTGGGACCCAGGCATTGGTGGCTTTGAGAACTCCTCAGGTGATCTCAATGCAGGCAAGCTTGAGAACATATTCCCTAGCCCAATGCTTCTAAGATTTACTACTGTGCTTGAAAATCCCTTGAAGAGTCTGTTAAAATGCAGACTATGATTCCATAGATCTGAGTGGGCTAAACATCTGCATTTCTAACAAGTGCCCAGGCAATATGGATGCTGCTATGAGTCCAGGGACCATACTTTGAGTAGCAAGGCTGTAGTCCTTTCTAGTGCCTATTCATTAGCCTTGCAAGTAATTTCCCAGAAATCATGAGTCCATTTGAGTTTGTGATTATGTCCACATTTGTTAATGGCTCCACAAGTTCTCGCTCCCTCTTTGTTCTGCCCATATCCTATAGCCACACTCCCGTGGTAATCTTAATATCAATCTCACTTTTCTGTTTTTCTCTAGATAGTGATTCTTATTAGAACAACTCAGACAGTAGAAGAGTCATCTAGCTAAACCTAAGCAGATTTTTCCACTGATCTGATCTTTCTCTCTAGGTACACTCCATCTGCAAAGCTCATTGAACACAAGGACATGTCCTCCAGGATAAGGAAATTCTTTGAACATTGTGTGATTTGGCAAATGATAATGACCCAGTATCTTGGTTACTGCTGCTCCAAATAGGTTACTCACAAACACTAGGTCTTCAGTTCAAAAAAATCATTAATAATGACCAAAGGTTAGAGGATAGCAGAACAGTAATTTTTGTTTCAGGATTGGTTACGATTTTAGATGACAGTACCTTGAAAAATGCAATTTCCTGGCCAATATTCTACTGGCTCTGTGATAATATTTGTCAGTTATCATGGGCCCTGGTCTGTGGACATATTCTTGGCAAATCAAAACTTTTCTAGGAGTCTTTCGAAATAGTGTATTTCATGCTGATAACAACTTAAAAATTAATATAAAGCATACTAGATTATCAAGATGAATAAGTCTTGGCTCATGATTTCAATGTCTGCGTTTCTGTTTGTGTTTATGATTGTTTATATGCCAAATAGCCATACTTCAATTATTTCAGGCTGATGATGAAAGAAGAGAGAACAGAGGGAGATTTAATAGAAACATCATGTGTGTGAGCCAAAAGAAGATCCCATGGCATTACAGGGAGCCTTAAACACAAAAGTTTCTCAGTAGGTTCAATAAGAGAAATATGATAGATTAACTCAGAGGTCACATACCACATCATATTTTAGATTTGCTGAGACTCAGAAAACAAAACAAAAACCCAATAAAACTCTAAAATCCCAGCATTATAGCGACTGGGACCATTTCATGTTGAGCATAGCCTTTTAATCTCAACAAAATAATGTTGTCTATTATACTATGATGATAACTTACATTTAAACAGCATTGACTTGTATTTTATTATCATTTAATTTATATGTTTGTTTTGGTTGTATAGTTGTTTCAAAACCACCAGCATTCTAGTTTTATGTCTAGTTTTATATTCTTTAATAAGTTGCATTAGTAACTTTCTAATGCAAATAAGTGAAGCCATTACTGGAATAATTTTTGGTTCTTTGAAAATATTTTGTATTGACTTTTTAGCATGTATTCATTCCTCACGCACACGTTAAGTTCCTTTCCTATTCTCTGAAATGTCATAGTGATCCTGGTCTAGCCTCATGTGCTTGATCTCAAGAGGTTGTTAATGAGACACTGTTGGGCACAGAAACAAAGCCCATAGGTAAGATTTCATTTTTACATTACCTGCAAATACAGTAACAAACATTTTGCGGGGAAAATTTCCCTGCTTGAAAGTCATGCCTGATGATGGCTGGTGGCAGGTGGAGGCTCCAACATGACAGGTCACTGGGGACTTATATTGCGCCCATGAGAGAGCAGGGGTCATACCTACGATTTGGAGGGAAAATAAAGTGCTTACAGGCTGTGGGGCCTCTGGCTCTCCATTTCCTGATGGGTGGCTGAGAGGCGGCACGGCTGTCGAGGGTTGGGTGTCCCCTTTGGGCAATTGCTGACTGCCTTCTGAGAGGGTATACGACTGGCTCTGAGGATTAAAAAACAAACAAACATAAAAATGCTGGTCTCCTTCTAAAGGCCAGCTGCCCCCTGGGGTTGACTTTCAAAAGACAAAATTGTCCTCCTCAGCTGTGAAGGTAGGGGCCAATTATTATTCCTAGGGTCCTCTGCACCTATCAGAATTATCTGAAAAATAGGCTTCAGTTTCTCTGACAGATACACTGAATGGATGGTACATAATTTCTGCTAATATTCAAATGCTATTTGTAGATGATTTTAAAAACAACGCCTTTTCTAAGACTTTATTTGTAAGTTTGTAAACATCTGAGTGCAGCTTTAATATATAGCAAAGGAAAAACGGTATAGACAAAGTAACAGTTTTCAGAACATTTTAGAGTTTTATTCTTTGCCTGTAGAGTGCATGAAATGTATCATTCTTGCTGTGGGAAGTTACAGCAGGTGCCTAAAACCTTATTAAGATTTGTATTGGAATAGCTTTAGATATACTTCAATGCAAAAAAAAAAAAAAAAAAAAAAAAATCGGGATTCAACTCTGATCTGTCTTGTGCGTAGTTGGTTCCAAAAGGTAGTGTTTTAGTCATTAACAACTTACAGACACACCATTCAGGAGCCTAAACATATTAAGTCCATTCCATGGATATTTGCAAATATCTGGATGTTTAGAAACAATACTGGAATATTTTCACCTTTCAATCCAAGTTTTATGGATTTATAGAAGTATTTACCTTGGTCTATTAATATTTGCAACATGAACCTAACTTTCCCACATAACTCTGATTTTGCTCAGTTTATGAAGTTTTGTACAAATTTGCTACAAACTAACAGCTTTAGTTACACATTCTACAGGTATATATTAACCATTTTCTCTCTGCAAGGCACTATTTACTGCCTTATTATATATACTTCTTTCTCTTTAGCCCCTCTTAAGAGATTTTTGGCCGATGAGGAAGAAATATATTCCCAATGCACATTTTTTTTTTTTTTTTTTTTTTGAGACAGAGTTTCACTCTTGCAGCCCACACTGAAGTGAAGTGGTGCAATCTCAGCTCATTGCAACTTCCGCCTCCTAGGTTCAAATTATTCTCCTGCCTCAGCCTCCTGAGTAGCTGGGACTACAGTCATGTGCCACCAAGGCTGGCTAATTTTTGTATTTTTTTTTTTTTTAGCTGTCCTCCCAAAGTGCTGGGATTACAGGTGTGAGCCACTGCGCCTGGCCTCAATATATTTAAAAGCATGGTATGCTGTATCTAAAACCAATATTACAGGGTAATCATAATGATAAAGTATACAAGTATCAATCATGATTTTATAATTTAAATTCTTCCACATGCTAACCAAAATTAAAGCCAATTTCCAAAGGCAATGAATACTTACATGACGATTGCCCATTTTCCTTTTTCTGAGATGGTTTTTCTGTATTTTATTAAGAGATTAGTTCTCCTACAGGCAAAGTTTACAATGGTTTTCCCAGGGCATAATATCTCTTGTGTTTAATAAGTAACTTTTGGCATTGAATTTGAATACATTGTTGGGGATGGGTAGGGAGTGGCTCTGGCTACAGATGGTCTTAGACTGCACAAGTTTCCTTGTTAGCCACGTTTTTAAAATAGTATACTTTTAAATAAATAAAGTTTAGGCTTTTAAAGTTGAATAGCTTCTTACCACCTAAAAGACTAAACCTGCCTCACTTCTGAATTGTCGAGAGAGTTATTCTTTCATATTTTGGGTGTTTATTTAAAATATTATGCCTTTTAATAATGACAGCATTAACCAGATAGAAAAATCTTACTTTTTTTTTTTCTAACACTGTTATTATTATTACAGAGAATTTTTTGAAGGCTACATTGCATTATGCTAGATCATTTTTAAAATTTTACTGAGTTTTTAATTAAAAAAGTAATATGTACAGATGGTAAATTTGTTTCTAATAAAACAAAAAGGTCCCATGAAAAGCCAGTCTGCAGTCTTTATCCCTTCCTCAGAGGTTTTCTGTGAGTCGTTCCAGAAGTGGTCCATGCATATGCATCTGTGTCTGTCTACTTACCTATCTCTCTGTTTATCTTTATCTGACTTGTCTTTTCTCCCTCACCAAATGGATTTGTACAGTATATTCTCTTCCATGCCTTTTCTTTTCTTTCCTCTTTTTCTGAGAATGTTATTATAACATGTTCCTTTTTTTATTTGTACAAATTTATGGGGAGCATAAGATATTTTGTTACATGTATGTAATGAGTACTGATCAAGTCAGGGTATTGAGGGGTTCACCCGAGTACGATAGATTCCTGTTAAGTACAGCCACCCTACTCTACTATCCAACATTGAATTTATTCCTTCCATCTTAGTGTGTGTTTGTACACTTTCACTCACTTGTCTTCTTCCCCTCACCCCCACAACTCACCCTGCCCGGTGTCTGTTCTCCATCTACCCAATCTCTACCTTCATGTGGTCAAAATTTTTAGCTCCCACATATAAGGGAGAACATGTGATATTTGTCTTTCTGAACCTGGCTTGTTTCACTTAATATAGTGGTCTCATGGCTTGTACATTTCATATACTAAAGCGATATATGACATTGGCACATTTCTTTTTCTGTGGCTATGTAGTAATCTGTTATGGATATGAACTGAAGCTTATTTCGTCAGTCCACCATTAAAGGTCATTTAGATTGTTTTTGGTCTTTTGCATGAATATTTTATATACATCTTCACTTATGCTTTCTCATCTATAGGATAAAATCTTAAAACAGAGTAACTGGCTAAAGACTATGTGCACTGAAAATTCCAATAGATGTTGCCAAGTTGTCCTCCACACTGACATAAAATGCTGGACCATTCTCAAAGGCCAGCTGATCCATGAGGCTGACTTTCAAAAGATGAAATTTTCACTCTCACTATATTAATATACCAGTGTACTTCTCCCCACATATTGGCTAACACTAAATATTTTCAAACTTTTTCATGTCTGCCAATATCGAAGATAAAACTATGGTATTTTATTAAATTTACATTTCTTCCGTTTGACATCCTTGAAATTATACATCCCATTTCTTTAAAGTCATTTGTGTGATTTTTTTTTCCTGTGGTTTGCTTGTGTCCTTTATTTTTCTGTTGAATTATTAGTATTTTCATTATTTGTTTATAAAACTCTTTATCTTTAATCAAATCTAGGCTTTTGTGAAGTGTGACAATTATTTTTCTACAGTTTGTTATCTTTTGCCTTTGTTTATGTTTTGAGGGCATATGTGTGAAGAAAGTATTAGCTCTGATGTATTCAACTATATCAATCTTTTATTCTTTGATTTGCTTAGAAAAACCATTTCAGCATTAAGGTGCTTAAATTTCTTATACAAGTGTTCCTTCAAGTTCTTTTAATGCCTTAATTTTTAAGGCTTATATCTTCGATTCATTTGGAAATGATTTTGATTTAGATTAAGGAAGGAAGGGTATGTTCGGCTGTTCTTCTATGGCTATAAAGAAATACCTGAGGCTGGGTAGTTTATAAGGAAAAGGGGATTGATTTTGGCATATGGTTCTGCACTGTACAGGAAGCTTCATGTCAGCATCTCCTTCTGGAAGGTCTCAGGGAGCTTAAAATCATGGCACAAGGCAATGGAGAACCAGTATGTCACCTGGCGAGAGCAGGAGCAGGAGAGGAAGCACAGAGGTGCCGCACATTTCTCAACAACCACAGCTTGCGTGAGCTCACAGTAAGAGTTCTCTTATCACCAAAGGGATGGCACCAAGCCATTCATGAGGGATCTGCCCCCATGATCCAACACCTCCTGCCAGGCCCAACATCCGGTATTGAGAATTACATTTCAGCAGGAGATAGGGAGGGGACATGCATCCAAACTACATCAAAAGGAGTCAGCTTAGTTTTTGCTATTCAGTGAAACCTAGATGAATATTGGATAATACACTTTCCCTCTATTGGTCTAAGATGCCACTTTTATTTAAAGCTAAATTCCCATATAACATTAAGCTAATTTCCCATATAAAATTTTGTATAGGATTATTAAATTCTGATTTTATATGTTCATTATTTTTTCTTTTAATTATTGAGTGCTTTGGATGTGCTAAATGCTGGAAAGATGGACAGGATGGATATGAATTTTCCTTTCCTAGAACTTGCAGTCAAATTTCTACATAGGAAACAAACAAAGAGGTAACTAGAAATTGTCATACAGGCTATCAAGAGGCTAAAGAGGACTCTAGAATAAAGACTAACCCCTGTGTCTGTGCATGAGAGTGTGTGTGTGTGTGTGTGTGTGTGTGTGTGTGTGTGTATGTGTGTATGTGTTTATGTACTTTGCTTTAAATGGAGTTGGGGCTCTTCAAGGAGCTCACATTGAAGCTGTGAATTAAAAAGTAAGAAGAAGTTCCTCATTTAAAAAGAGAAAGTGCTCCAAATCAGGTGTTCTTAGCTTGTGCTAAGGCTCAAAATAGGAAAGAGCTTTGTGAATTAGAGAATATAACAGATGCCAATGAGACTGGAGACTATTGGGTGCCACACAGGGTGGCAGGTGTGGAAACACAGTGGTGAACAAGACAAACTCCTTCCTCCAAGAATTGACAGCAGAATGGGGGAGAAGACACGATGTAGGTCAATGACCACTGCTTCGAACACTCACTATTATTTTTTCTTTAGTGTTGAGTTTTTGTTTTATTGCCCACTGTCTCCTTTTGCCAGCCCAGACTTCTCAGGGCCATGTCCTCTCTGCCACACCTCTGTGTCACTAACCACTCCTGCCAGGAACTCCTGATCAGTGACGCCTCAAAGGTCAAGAGGGGCAGGGCAATTTGATGTGCAGTGCTGGCTGTAGAGATAAGTTCTGTTCAAGGGTGCTGAGTTACTGAGCACAAGAAATGCCTAGTTAAGAGATACAGTTTATGGCTCCAGGGAGGTGCAAGCCAGACAGCTGAGAAGCGAAAGTGTCTTTTTACTTTTTGATATCACCACCAGCATAGACACCTCTTGATTATTTAGACTTGGCCATAGTCAGATTTTGATTTGACACAGATGGAGCTATCCCTAGTGTCCCTCCTCTTCTCCTTCCTGAGGTGAATGGGTACTTGGGAAAGTGGCTGGGATAATTACCATCAACAGCAGCAGTGGGGAAGGAAGGGACATTCCTATGGCCTCAGGCCATTTCTGGAAGGATGTAATGCTTGGAGGCCCAGAGGGGAGAAGGAGGGAAACTATCTGGGAGGGAAGAGTGAGAAGACCGGATCTGAGTGAAGAGAGGGCACAAGATGGGTGGGAGGGTTTTTTGTATTGTTGTAAATATTTAGTGATTGTAAATTATAACAGGTGCTGTGTAATAGGTTCCTTTAGTCGACTGGGCTACATCTACTTTTTACATCTCTTGGTTTTTGGTTCTCAAAGTCATGATGTTGCCCACTGAGAGGGCAGTTGGCAATGTGTGTGGGAGTGTCTGGGTGGCCAGAATGCGTGATTGAGTGGGGATTGGAGCCCAACCAAGGTGTAATAAACATCCTGCACTGCATGAGACAGTCCCACACAACAAAGAATTGTCCAGTCCTCAAGACAATGACACCCCACTCCCCTTGAAAGGTGAGAGACCTGTCTTTCCCACCTTCCTTTTACGAAGGGCTCTATTGGCAGACCAGGAGTTTATGAACTTCTGCAGGGCTCCTGGGTCTTAAAAGTCTGTAAAATCTGGCTGGGTGAGGTGGCTCATACCTGTAATCCCAGCCCTTTGGGAGCCTGAGGCAGGCAGATCACGAGGTCAAGAGTTCAAGACCAGCCTGGCCAATATGGTGAAACCCCTTTTCTACTAAAAATATAAAAACTAGCTGGGCATGGTGGCATGCGCCTGTAATCCCAGTTACTTGGGAGGCTGAGGCAGGAGAATCACTTGAATCCAGGAGGTGGAGGTTGCAGTGAGCCAAGATTGCACCACTGCACTCCAACCTGGGCTACAGAGTAAGACTCTGTCTCAAAAAAAAAAAAAAAAAAGGTCTGTAAAATTTGAAATTGCAATGCTATGAGCTTAATTGGGACAACTGGAAAGGTATGAAAGATGGAGAACGTGTAAATGGACAGGTGGGACCAGAAGAGACAAATCACTTGGACCAACTTCTTCATTCTATAGATTAGGAAACTCCGGTCCTGGAAAGCTACCACATCTCACCCAACATCAGCCTGCTAGTTAGTAGAAAGGATGGTGGGATGAGACTATATACTACAGGATGTTCCTCAACTTGCAATATGATGCAGTTACATCTGATAAACTCATCACAAATGGAAAATACAGTTAAGTTGGAAATGCACTGGACACGCCTAATTTACTGAACATCATAACCTAGCCTAGCCTACCTTAAACATGCTCAGAACACTTACATTAGTGTATAGATGGGCAAAATCAT